ACTCTTCATGTTATGTTTTTTGGCTAAATGAAGGCAGTCACTCACACAGGATTTTATACTTATTTTATGAATTACCTTTCTTCTTTTGGACTTTCAGTGTATGCTTATAAATTTTTATTTATGTGTTTATATGAACATACTCATTGATATTAATATAACATAAAATGCTATCCATCTGCTAGAATTATATTTAAAGAAAGTACATTATGTGAGAAAGAGAACAATGAAATGTAAGTTTGGACTTAAGTTTTATTAGAAAAGGACATTTCTTCAAAGACAGTTCACACTGTATCTTGGGATAAAGGACACAGCTGAAAGCTAATATATCTATGTTATAACAGGACAACCTGCTTAAAGCAATTTGACGCTCACTGAGTATATTCAAATGAGTTTTTAAGATTATGAAGCCTGCCTTGTCTTGCTAAGGATAAGTGAATGGCCTGTGTTGTTTCATATAAGGATTATCATCCCTCCTCCTAAATTATTAGCTTATAAAATTGAAGACAGTGTTTTGGCAGAAAGTAAGTGAGGTTCCAGGTTTTTTTTTTTTTTTCCCTGCAGCCTCACTGATAATACAATTGAAACCACCTTTAACAGAACATCTTATTAAAAATAAACATCATAATTAGGTAAATATCTAGATTTTAAAAGATCTACGCTTTTCTGGTTTCAGTATTAAGTAGAAAAAAGTTATAAAGGGATTCTGATGTTCCTCAACGATATGTTCAAATATTAATGACTTTGCTGTCCATAATTCTTTAGAAAATATTGTTAGTCTTCTCATACCCTATAAACATTTTATATTTGTGCTTTATAGCAAGATAAGAAAAGTACTCTTCTCTTACATGCCCTCTAATTGCTAGCAATCACTGACCTTTTTACTACCTCCATAGTCTCTCCATTTACAGAATGTTGTATAGTTGGAATCTTACAATATTTAGCCTTTTCAGACTGGCTTCTTTCACTTGGTAATATTTGTTTAACTTTTCTCCATGTCTTTTCATGGTTTCATAACTCATTTATTTTTAGTGCTGAATAATATTCCATTGCCTGGATGTACTACTGTTATTTATCCTTGCATCTTCTGAAGGACATCTTGTTTGCTTCTAAGTTTTGGCAATTATGAATAAAGTTGCTGTAAACATCCGTGTGGATGGTTTTGTGTGAATATAAATTTTCACTTCCTTTGGGTAAATATGAAGGAGCATGATTGCTGGATCATATGGTGAGAATATGTTTAGTTTTCTAAGAAACTTCCAAACTGCTTTCTAAGGTGGCTGTACCATTTTACATCCTTACCAGCAATAAATGAGAACTTATGTTACTCTATATTATCACCACTTTTTTTTTTTTTTTTTTTTTGGCCATTCCAAAAGGTATGTGGGTATGTCTGTTTGGTTTTTAAAAATTTCCATTTCTTCTTCAAATATTTCCACATCCAAAGTCTATTTTTGGAATGACAAAATATGTAGTAAATCAAAATCAAAGGTGATGAGGGACAAAAGACTACACACTGGGGACAGTGTACACTGCTCAGATGATGGGTGCACCAAAATTCCAGAAATCACCACTAAAGAACTTATTTATGTAACCAAACACCACCTGTTCCCCCAAAACTATTGAAATAAAAAAAATAAAAAATTTACAATAAAAAAATATATTTAATGGTTAAAGCTTTTACTTCTACTTCTTGATAACCCTACTTGGGGATTCTACAACTCCTAAGAGTATATGGTAGTTCTCAGATATTAATATAAATGGTTATCATTAAAAAATATCCATTTCTTCTTCAAATATTTCCACACCCAAAGTCTAGTTTTTGGAATGATGCAATACACAGAACATCAAAATCAAAGCTGTAAGAAAAAGATTATAATTTTAATCACATATTTAAGTCTAAGATAAGGGCTCTGGTGTCAAGTGGTCTCAAGCTTTTAGAGTACAGTTAACTATGCAGTTAACTATAGGCAATCAATCACAGGAGCCACAAGAGCTCTCAATGGCCAAAGCTGCAATAATTTTAGCAAATAAATAAATGACGTATAAAATAAGTATTCAAGAGGCCATACTATATAAATAAATGAATACATTAATATAGACACACCTATAAAAATCTCCCTTATAGAATAATTCCTAATAATTGATGTGTATGTTCTGCCCTCAAGAAACTAAAGCATAAATCCCTACTCCTGAAGTGATAGATGTGCAAAGCTCCTTCCTTTCAAGGGGTACAGTGTGAAAAGAGAGGGACAGATGTTTATAGCATACAGTGGAAAAACCCAAGAAACACTACCATATTCAGGTGACCAAAGTTAACATCAATGATGATAAGTCATGTCCACAAGACGTCTGCACCCTTAATGGCATTTTCCTCTGTTGTCTTCCTCCAAAAACATAAAACCCCAGTATTAGTATGGGAAAAACATCAGACAACTCTCTATTGAGAGATATCTATAAGATATGTGACCAATATGCCTCAAAGCTGTCATGTATATAAAAAGTAAGGAAAGTCTAAGAAAAGGTCATGGCCAAGAGAAGCATAAGGAAACATGATTGATATTACATCATGGATGGGATCCTCGAACAGCAACAGGTCACTGGATAAAAACTAAGGAAATAGGAATAAAATATAGACCTCAGTTAATAATAAAAGTATCAATATTGGTTTATAAGTGTAATGAATTTATCATTCTAGTGTAAAATGTTAATAATATGGAAACTGGGTGCAGAGTATGTGGGAAGGCTCTATATTATCTTTGTAATTTCTCTGTAAATCTAAGACTGTTGGAGAATTTTTAAAGGGGTTATTTAAAAAATTAAATTGCCTAGATGCATTCGAAGGCAAAAGTTATTATATTGGATAAAAACTTACCAGCAATATATTGTTTATATGAACCCATTTACATAAAAGAACAAATTTAAGTTGAAAGTAAAAGGTGAGAAAAGGTACAGCAAACACTATCAACCAGAAATCTTGGTTGCATATATAAATATTAGATAAGAAGGGTTTAAGGAGAAGGATACTTTAATATCAGAGAACACATATTTAACAAAATAAAAGTTGGGCCAGCGTGGTGGCTCAAGCCTGTAATCCCAGCATTTTGGGAAGCCGAAGCGGGTGGATCATGAGATCAGGAGATTGAGACCATTCTGGCTAACAGGGTGAAACCCCATCTCTACTAAAAATACAAAAAAATTAGCCGGGCATGGTGGGAGGCGCCTGTAGTCCCAGCTACTCCGGGAGGCTGAGACAGGAGAATGGCCTGAACCCGGGAGGCGGAGCTTGCAGTGAGCTGAGATCACGCCACTGCACTCCAGCCTGAGCGACAGAGCGAGACTCCGTCTCAAAAAACCAAACCAAACTAAACTAAACTGAACTGAACTAAATAAAAGTTGGCCGGGTGCGGTGGCTCACGCCTGTAATCCCAACACTTTGGCAGGCCAAGGAGGGTGGATCACAAGGTTAGGATATCGAGACCATCTTGGCTAACACGATGAAACTCTGTCCCTACTGAAAATACAAAAAATTAACCAGGCTGGTGGCAGGTGCGTGTAGTCTCAGCTACGCGGGAGGCTGAGGCAAGAGAATGGCGGTGAACCTGGGAGATGGAGCTTGCATTGAGTCAAGATCACGCCACTGCACTCCAGCCTGGGCGACAGAGCGAGACTCCATCTTAAATAACGAACTAACTAACTAAATAAATAAAAGTTAAAAAAAAATTATAATAATAATGGCAATCATTCAAAAGGAAGACAAAAACAATCGTAAATTTGTGTGTACCTAATATCAACTTAAAATATACAAAGCAAAAACTTTGACAAATTAAATAGAAGAAATACATAACCCCTCAATCTTAACTAGACTTTGAAATGTCTTATAGAGAAACTGATAGAAAAGAGAAACAAAATATGCATAACTATAAAAAATTTGAAAAATGCATTAACCAACTATATCCCTTTCCCTGTTTATATATCTGCCTATATTTATATCTCTATTCATATCTATGACTTTGTTTTTCTACACCAAATAACTGAAGACTATGCATTATTTTCAAGTGAACATGGAAATATAAATAAAGCCTTAAGAAATTCCAAAGGTTTTAACTTATGTATGTTCTCTGACCATAGTTGATTTAAGCTAATTATGAAAGACAGAAAGGTAACTTGAAAAATTCCAAATATATGAAAATTACAGAATGCAATACTTGAACAGGAAGCTGAAAGAAGAGGATGCCCAAATAACCAATAAGCATATGAAAAACTTTTCAAACCATACTCCAGTGGGAAGAGCACATCAAAATCGCATGATCTAATGTACTCCTACCCCTATTTGTAAAATGTAAACTGACCAACAAAAACAAGAATTGGCAAGGATGTATATACATTTTTGACAAGACTAATCGGTTTGTCAATATCTACTTAAGCTAAATATGTGTTTACCTAATAACCCTTCAATTTCACTTTTTCTTTTTCTTTTTGATAGGAAGTCTCTCTTTGTTGCTCAGGCTGTAGTATAGTGGCGCTATCTTGGCTCACTGCAACCTTCGACTCCCGCGTTCAAGCAATTCTTCTGCCTTAGCCTCCCGAATAGCTGGGACTACAGGCGTCCACCACTATGCCCAGATGATTTTTGTATTTTTAGTAGAGACGGGGTTTCACCATATTGGCCAGGCTGGTCTCGAACTCCTGACCTCGTAATAGGCCCGCCTTGGCCTCCCAAAGTGCTGGAATTACACCGCGCCTGGCCGAATTTCACTTATTAGTAAATAAGAGAAATGTATGCATACAGCTATTATAACATGTGTAAGAGGGGCCGGAAAAGACTCTCTAAACAGGAATAGAAAAGAATAAAAGCAGCTGTCAGAGTAGGAGAAAACTTGAGAGAAGCAACGGAACCCTTGTTTCAGATCACGCGATTCTAACGAGAGTTACGTCAGGGCACCTCAGAGCATTCGGGATTTTGGCCAAGGCGACGAAGGATCTCGTCCGGGTCGATCTCATACGCGCAGGCGCACACGCAGCGGAAAGTTCTTCCGTGCCAGGTCGTGCTGGTAAAGAAGCGGTACTTCCTCTTACTCCCGGGACAGAACTTCCCCTCAGGCAGGAGAACGTCCATCGAACGAAATGGAGAACAAAAGACCGCGACTGCTCGAGGAAGCGGACAAGCAGAAAAAGATAGCCAGAGTGGGACTCAATGCACCTTCCATGCTACGAAAGAACCAGCTAGGTTTCCTCAGATTCGCCAACTATTGCCGTTTAGCTCGCGAGCTGCGTGTAAGCTGCATGCAGAGGAAAAAGGTCCAGATTCATAGCTGGGATCCCTCGTCTTTGGCAAGCGACCGATTTAACCGCATACTGGCGAATACCAACACTGACCAGCTCTTCACAGTGAACCAAGTCGAAGCTGGAGGCTCCAAGTACGGCATCATCACCATGCGAGGCCTGACGACCCCTGAACTCCGGGTATACCCGCACAAAAGCCTCTACGTCCCTAATCGGAAGGTGAATTCTATGTGCTGGGCTTCACTGAATCACTTGGATTCCCACCTTCTGCTGTGCTTCGTGGGACTCGCAGATACTCCCAGTTGTGCCGTGCTGCTCCCAGCGTCGCTGTTCATAGGTAGCTACCCAGGAATGCGTCGGCCAGGCATGCTCTGCAGTTTCCAGATCCCTGATGCCTGGTCCTGTGCCTGGTCCCTGAACATCCACGCATATCACTGCTTCAGTACAGGCTTGTCTCAGCAGGTCCTGTTGACGAACGTGGTGACGGGACATCAGCAGTCATTTGGTACTAGCAGTGATGTTTTGGCCCAGCAGTTTGCAATCATGACTCCTTTGCTGTTTAATGGCTGTCGCTCTGGGGAGGTCTTTGGCATTGATCTGCGCTGTGGAAATCAAGGCAGGGGGTGGAAGGCCATTTGCCTATCCCATGATTCAGCAGTGACCTCTCTGCAAATCCTCCAAGAAGGGCAATGCCTGGTGGCATCAGACATGACTGGAACTATCAAGCTGTGGGACTTGAGGGCCACTAAATGTGTAACACAGTACGAAGGTCATGTGAATAACTCCGCCTACCTGCCCCTGCATGTGAACGAGGAAGAAGGAGTCGTGGCGGCCGTGGGCCAGGACTGCTACACGAGAATCTGGAGCCTCCGTCATGGCCACTTGCTCACAACCATACCCTCCCCATACCCCGCCTCGGAGGATGACATTCCCAGTGTGGCCTTCTCTTCTCGCCTCGGGGGTTTCCGAGGAGCACCAGGGCTGCTCATGGCTGTACGGGAGGACCTTTATTGTTTCTCCTACGGTTAATTCTTCAGGGTGCAGCCCGGAGGAACGTGGATTTGACTTAAAGAAGTAAGGAGTATCGTATTATCGTTTCTATGAGTGCATTTTAAGAGATGTTCGATGTTTGTAGATCCCATCCATCCGGCTGCCAGGGGTAAGGTGCTGTTTTATATGAAGATAGTTCTGTAAAGTTGTTTCAGTTAAACTGTGGGCTTAGAGAGCGTGAAACTGTTTCCCTTTTCTTGTTAAATACCCTAGAATAGTTATTCCTCCCCCCCCCCTTTTTTTTTTTTTAACAAAAAATACTTTTCTAAGGACTGAAGATTGGCAAAAACTAAAATAAATTAAAACTGCTTCTTTCACCAGAAGCCCTTTAGAGAAGCATAACAATGCACTGGTGAGACTGTTTGACTAGTCCTACCTGGGTTTCAGAAATACATGCATCATCTGTACTTGAAGAGGCCAGTGGGAGAAGAGAGGAGGGGGAGGTCATTTACCTGAGTCTCTACAGAAGTTTTTAAGGCTACATTTTGGAATCATTAAACTTGGCCTTCTCAAACTCAATAGCAGATCTCTGAGATTCTCCTTTTATTATTTTCCGTAGGCAATGGAAGGAAAGGTAGATCTTTTTAAATAATAGAAGTGTTAAACAGTCCTTAACGTGCTTTTGTGGAGGTACCTTCCAGAATGTCAGGTACAGAAGCTCCGGTTTCTATTATTGTGACTTGAGTGTCAGATTCAAGGGCTAAGTGTCAAAGATAATTGATTGTAACTCTTTGTAGTCTAGGAGTGGCAGGGCAGTTTGTGAGATGGTTATTCAAAGTGTTAAAGAGCTTGTTTTTCTACCAAAAAATAAGCTAGGAAAAAAAAAAGCAAAACAAAGAAACGTGTAATAAAGTTAGTGGCTCCTTCTTAATAGCCAAAGCCTGGAAATGATCTGACTTTACAATATGCTAAAATTGATAAATTGTGCTGTAATCACACAATTGGATAAAGCATAATATAAAATAAGGCACAATTGCTCTATGAGACTATGGATTAATCCCAACATGTTGATTGTTAATGTAGATAGAAATGAGTACAAGCTGATTCAGATCTCAAGTTCAAAAGCAGTAAAAACTTATCTGTGGTGATTACAGTTTGAATAGTAGGTATCTCTGTGGAAGGAAGAAAGGATATTGTTCATTTTGTTTTCCCTTTTTAGGATATTGTTTGGGAAGTAACATGGGGAAACTTTAGAAATGCAGTTTTCTTTTTCTTGATCCTTGATACATACATATTTTATATGTCTACACACTTCACATTTTATATGATACCTCAAAAATGAAAATATGAAAACAGGACACTTGTAATTGGTCAGGCAAGGGAATGATGATGGCCTGGACCTGAATATGAGAAGTAGAAATAATCAGAAAAATCAGAAATGATTGCATTGGAAGATCGTTCGAAGGTAGTATTAGTAAGACTTGCTGATGAGAGTAATCTAGAAAGTGAAAGACAGCATAAAGATTGCAGCTTTTTTGTTAACTTTAGGACTGGTGGATGGTGATGTCATTTACTAAAATGGAGAGGATTTGAGGTGAAAAAATTTTAGGTGAAGGGAATAATGCTGAGTTTTAGGCAACTATTAAAATGTCCAATTCACTAGATAGGAGGTGATGTCAGGACATAGATGAGGTTAATGTAATAATTACATATTGATAGAGGAATAGGTCAATAGAGAAGATACAAAAGAGTGGTTAGGTGCATAGATTTTTGAAATCAGTTTAATTGGTTTTTGGTACTTGATGTGTGACAGGAGAAATTGTGTAAGCTGTACTTGTGTGACAGGAGAAATTGTGTAAGCTGTACTTGTTATCATTTCTTCTTTGTAAAATGTCTTAGATAATAAAATTAAATCATAAAGTAGATACTTGTTTAAAGGATGTATACATTGTCCCTTTTACATTGTAAGCACTGAATAAGAACTAGCTGCAGATGTAATTTTTTAAAAAAGTCCAAAAGCAGCTATGGGCAGTTGACAAAAGAAAATGTAATGACTACATAACTTGCAAAACTGTTTACCCTCCCTTGCATGTAAAATAAATGCAAATAAAGCAATGATTATGTATTGTTTTCATTCATTGGTCTAGTACAATTTGTTTGTTTATAGCAGCTTTATTTATAATGGCCAAAAACCAGAAACAAACAAGATGTTCCTCAAAAAGTGATGGATAAACAAACTAGTGTACATACTTATATGATGGAATATTACTTAGTAATGAAAATAAATGAGCTATTAAGCTGCAAAAAGACATGGAGGAATCATAAGTACTTATGAAGAAGCCAGTCTCAAATGCTATAGATGTATAATTCCAACTATATGGCAGTCTGGAAAAGACAAAACTAGAGATGGTTAAAAATATCAGTGGTTTCCCAGAGTTCAGCAGGAGGGGAAAGAGGTCAATAGATGCAGTGCAGGCATTTTTAGGGTAGTGAAAGTGTTCTGCATGATAGATACTGTAATGATGGATTGATGACATTATGCAGTGTCAAAGCTCAGAACTGTACAACACCACAAAGAATGAACCCTAATGTAAGTTATAGGCGTCACTTAATTATAATGATCAATATTGGTTCATCAGTTGTAACAAACGTGCTACACTAACGCAAGATGTTAATAATAGGGTAATTTGCAGAGTAGAGAAGTGGTATATGCCCAGTTTTTATATTGTCTGTACTATCTCTTCAATTTCATGTTAACACTTCTCTAAAATAGTCTATTAATTATTTTTAAAAATAAGTTATGATCATAGAAACAAAAACAATGTGGAACAGGTTGTTCTTGCGTTGGATGACGTGTAAACTTGAAAAATCCATCAATAAACATCACTGAGACTGACAATGCCCATGAAGAAGATAAACCTTCCCTTCAGGCTGCAGGCAGAATCAAGTTCAGATCCTGTTAGCTAATGATGATGGTGATAAAAGACTTAAAATTAAGGCATTAAGGCCTATTATTATTACTTTTTTTGGAGACAGTATCTTGTTCTGTCACCCAGGCTGGAGAGCAGTGGCATGATTTCAGCTCACTGCAACCTCCATCTGCTGAATCAAGCGATGCTCCTGCCTCAGCCTCCTGAGTAGCTGGGATTACAGACAGGCACCATTATACCTGGCTAATTTTTTAATTTTTATTAGAGATGGGGTTTCACCATGTTGGCCAGGCTGGTCTCAAACTCTTGACCTCAGGTGATCCATCCACCTCGACCTCCCAAAGTGCTGGGATTACAGGTGGGAGCCACCGCGCCCTGCCTAATTTTTGTATTTTTTAGTAGAGACAGGGTTTCACCATGTTGACCAGGCTGGTCTTGAACTCCTGACCTCAAAAGATCCACCTGCATAGGCCTCCCAAAATGTTGGGATTACAGGCGTGAGCCATTAAGGCCTATTATTATGCAATGCCTTGAAATCTGGTGAAATCAAGAGGAAATCTGGTGGCCTAATGAGTATTTTTCCTTCCTACTCTGCTCCCACAGATAAGTGTCCTAGCCTATTAACCATTTCTATTAAGGGGACTAGGCACAGTGCCTCCTTGTTTCTGACAAGCAGGTTTATGTTGCTGTTGCTGCGAGCCCATGGAATTATTCAAAGAAGCCAATCCCGTTCTCGCACAGCAAACAAGGAGTCACCTTACAACTACAAAGCCTATCTCCCTGATTGTTTGCTTTGTTCTCAAATGCAAACCTGTGTGACCCTGTGCAATGTCCTCCCTCAAGCTGTGAGTATATGTGACTAATAAATTGCTACCAATCTCATCTGTCCAGGGTCCAGCCATCTCCATAACCCTAGAGTTAGAATTCCTCCCTCACCAATGGGATGACTAAGAAGAAATTAAAACAGATGGGTCTTATCTATCAGTAAAACAATCTTTCCAGAAACTGGAACCCCTAATAGACTTAGGCTACTCAAAATTTCTTACAGGAATTGGAGAGACGTCACAGAAATCTGCTGATGCATACCATGGACACCTGCCAGCTGGTAGAATTGAAATTGAGTTTGTCACAGGTAGTAGTGGCTACATAACTGGTAAAGTCCTCAGACAGGTGAGGACATGCAACTTAGCTCCAGAAAGTGTTCAATATAGGAATCGCCCTAGTGTGCATATTTGGATGAATGAGATTCAGTCGTAAAGGCTACTTGCAGAGTGTCTCTCTGGTGTGTGTCAGGTTTTATTTCATTCCTTGCATTTCTGAAGTCTTTCTCCAGTGTGAACTTTCTGGTTCCAAATAAAGTTAAGTCTTTGACTGAAGGCTTTCCCCAAATTCGTTTTATTTATAATGCCTATCTGGATTGTGAATTTTCTGCTGCTGAATCACAGCAGACATTTGGTTGAAGCTTTTCCCACGTAAGGCTTTTCTCTGTAGTAAACTTTTTGGTGTCAGATGAGGTTAGACTTTTTACTAAATCATTTCCAACATCTGCTTTACTTATAAGACCTTGCTGCATTCTCTAGTGTTGAAGGAGGCTTAGAGATATGGTTAGAGAATTCCCCACATTCACTTCATTAATTAAGCTTTTCTTCATTATGGATAGTTTGATCTTAAAATTCCAAATTTGCTGCATTCTAAATGCCCTTTCGAATTCTTCAATGTGAACTCTCCAGTGCTTAGTAGGTGTGGGTTTGCAGATAACTGATGTCTCCCATTTGCTACGCTTAAAAGGCCTTTCTCTAGTCCTCTCTCAGTCCCTGCGCTCTTTTCTTATTAAGGGCTTCTCCCCGCTATGTAGTTTCCAGTGTTGGTAAAAGTTTGCTCTGAACCAGAAGCCTCTCTCATGTACACAATATCTTTCAAACTGGACCACACATGGCACTGGAGTGGGCCTTCTGGGTAGACATTCCTGTCGTGGAAGCCTTGACATGTGATACTCCATGTACAAAAACATTGTGTTCAAAAGGTTTTGTGTTGAGTGGAGTTGAAGCCCTGGCTAAGGAAATTCCCACAGTTGTTTTGTGTATAAGGGGTTTCTCCAGTGTGAACTCTCACCTGTATGATAAAGTTGTATTTATGATTAAGTACTTTTCTACATTTGCTGTTTTCATAAGGATTTTATTCCATATATATTCTCTGGTGCTTAACAAGTATTTATTGTGATTAAAGGCTTTCCGATACTCAATACT